TCATATATGACTGTCTTTGTTACTTTTCTCTCGTTGCTGAGGCAGAATACCCAACCTCAAAATTAAGGAAGGAAAGATTTATTTATCTTACAGCTTGTGGAGGTTTCTGTTCATACTTGGCTGGCTCCAAGGCAGAGTGGCATATGGCAGAGGGCAAATGTTCATGGCAACAGAAAACAGCAAAGCAACAAGAGCAAAGGGAGGAGGGCTGGCAGGCAGCCTCTTTTCCTCCCTTTTGTTGTATGTAAACTGTCTGCCCCAGGGCGGGTGTAGCCCTCGCATCCATAATTCCAACATTGGATCTTGAATTAGTCACAGACTCTAGAAGCCTGCCCCGTGGCTGCATGAGGATTTGAGGGGACATGCAGACACAACCCATAACAACAGCATACCCAGAATGTTGTGTGTAGTCCAGGAACCATTGTTCCTGCTGCTCATGTCCTGCCTTCTTGGGTAAGTGTGGTTTTCTCAAGTGTATTTGTAGTTTGGATACTGAGGGAAGCAGAGCAAGTACTGATCTCCTGCTGTCATTTTTCTGAGGTGACAGATGCTAAGGGGCAGTCAGGGAACAGGCTCAGACAGCTGCACTTGCCAGTGTATTAGCTCTCCTTGCAACTGGCGGGAGGGATACGGCTGGGGTTTTTTCATGTTAAGTTTTCTGCATTGTAGTCTCTTCCTATAAATAGCATGGATAAGAATTGTTTTTAAAAAGTATAGAGCCTGGTAGATTTTTGAGCTGGATTTAAATCCCAGTGGTGTAACTTAAATTTGTTTGTAGCTTTGGGTCAACCTTGGAGGCTGTTTCAGTGGTTTTCCCACTGCTCCCATGCTAGAGCATTCAGCATAAAAGATCTCTGTGACCTCAGAAGGTATGGGGATTTCCCACCAGCGAGCTAGGCTTGCTCCACCATGCCCTGCCTGCCGTTTATGCCTTCTCCCCCACGCCGCAGCCGTGGGTCTGCTCCACTGCAGAGTGACAGCCCTGGCACTCAGCAGATCCCATGTGACTAGGTACCAAGGAAGGTAGTGAAAAAAATCGTATTTGGATCCCCTTCTGTGGCCTCTTGTGTTTCCAGTCCCTTCTAATCCTGCTGTCTGTCTTATTAATAGTTTATTAAAAATTCAAAGTCTAGCAAAAGTTCTTCTCCAGCCCAATGGTGGGCCTGTGGAAAGAGTCCCAGATATTCTCAGGGAGAGTAGAATCTAGTGGCCTGGGGAGGACTTCTGCCAGGCTTTCCCTAGACACGCTGTCCAAGCCTATGGCTGTTTGATAAGTCTTTCATTCAAATGTGTCTGTTTTATATAAAACTCATTAGGAGATGTTTTCCTCTCTAAAAATTGTCGTAATTGAAGAACTGAATTAAAAGCATGGATACGACATGTGCCTATGCTTAAAAACTGTTCAAACACCAAACAAGGTATTGTTCTTTACCGGCAGATACCCAGTTGATTACTTGCAAAACTTTGATTTCCTTAACTCTTGGTCCTTGGAAACCTGCCTGTCTAGGAAGAGGGGCCTCTTGAGTAGTGTTTGCTGTACATAAATTGCTTCTACATATCCTTTTGGTAGGAATGTAGAATCAGCATTCCATAGATTAAAAACCAACCTTGTGGTTTGGTTTTTGGTAAGTGACAGCTAGAGCCAGAATCAAGACATGCTAAGTGCTAAGTTCAACAGACTAGATGGTTGAGGGTTATATCTTAGAATGAGACAATTTCTACTTCTAAGATAGTATGTGAAAGTGGATGTGCTTACATATATTCTTAGTTGTTTGTTCATCCTTGGTTCCTTTTTCAGTTAAATCAGTATTTAGTTAATAGCAACTACAGCCCAGTTGCCGTTCTGGATCTCCTTTGTGCTGTTATAAACATGTATTATCTTGATTTGAAAATTATTTTTTAGACTTTTATAACGCATATGCATTGTACACTAAGTTGTACCATGAAAATAATTTCCTTTTCCCTTGTGTGTCAGCCACCTGACCCTTTCTGTTTCCCATTCCTTCCCAAATATAGTACTGGCTTCTTGCACACTTCTTACACAGTCTCAGAGATGGTCCATTGGTGTGGTAGTATTTCATTTCACACAGAAACACACCGTGATGGGCTCCTTTTGGTGACCCTGTCACCCACCTGCACCCCATAGAGTTCATACCCTGTATGTCTTCCAAATGGACTGCTGGGCCATGTGACTGAATTTGGCTGGTGGGACTTCGGATGAGTGCTGGCAAGTTGAGCCTTGTTCTTTGGAAATACTTCTTATTGTGGCACTCCCTCGCAGAGCCTGCGAGCCACCAGCTGTGAGATCTCTACCTAGTCTCATGGTGAAGTTACACGGAAGAAAACTGAGGGGCTTCCTCAGCCTCCACTAAGCCTGCACTGCGGCCAGCACGGTTTGACAGCCCAGTGATAATGGATCCGTATTCCGGGAAGTGGAACCTCCTGTCCCTTTCAGCCTACCCCAGATGATGCTATGTGGAGCAAAGATGAGCTTTCCTTGCTAAGCCTTGTTCTGATTGAAAAACTGAGAGCCGTTCTTATAAGCCACTGAATTCAGCTTGTCATGCAGTAACAGACAGCTGAAGCATAGACTATATATGCTGTCTGTTCTGTGCCTCGCTGTTTTCACTGAACAGTGTATTGGTAGCAGTCTGTTTCATAATGTACAGAGCTACCTTATTCATTTTAAGAGCTGGGTAGTATTCCAACAAGTTCACTAACCAGACTTACTGACGGAAACTTGCTGATTCCAGCCTTTTGTAGGATTGAATGTCTTTGTTGGATGCTTTCTTTTGCATACATACATATATTTATTGGCAAAGTTCTTAGAAGTAGAAGCTGGTATGTGAATGGTTATTTTAAAGGTATTATAACATTGCCCTCCAGAAGGACCCCACTCCCACCCAGCACATCTTCTTTTGATGAACCTTCTCCCTTTTCTGTTCGCCATTTTCTTCTTTATGTAACTTCTCCATATAATTAGGTAGAGACCTCATAGGTGGTGGCTCTTGGGGTCTGCAAGAAAGTGCCATAATAACAACATATATTAATATATGCTATCTGAAGCAAGTCTTTTTTCCTCTCATTTCTTTATCTTTATCAGTTTTATATGAGTCTTCTATAACTTGGATTTCTTATTTTTGTTTGTCATATTTAGGCCTTGCCCACTCTGAGATTATTATAGATATTCTCCTGTGTTTCCTTCTAGTATTTTTATTATTTCATTTTTTTACATTTTGACTTTTGATCTGTTCAAAACGTTGTTTTCTTTGCTCCTGGGAATCGAACTCAGGACCTCATGCTTGCCAGGCAGGCACTGTGCCACTGAGCTGTATCCCCAGCCCTCAAAATGTCTTTTGATGTGTAGGTTCCAAATTTTTATTTTTCCAAATATGTTTCTGAGGTGACCAGTCAGTTGTTAGTATTAATCATTTCACATTAATGTTATTATTCCATGTCTTATCATAAACTATATTCCATATTTGTATGTCAGGTAATCTCAGTATATTTATTGAATTCAGGGAACTCAGTTGAATTGCTATCCCATAAATTACTTAAATTTTCCTTTTTTTCTCTGCTGTGATAAATGCTATAGTGCATATTTTAAAAAATAAGTCTGTATAATTATCAATCCCAGCATAGCTTATGGTTTTCTTTGTGGAGCTACAAATGTTTATTTATAGTTTCCATTTTATTCATTTATTTATTTTGTCTTTTTGAGACAGGGTTTTGCTACACAGTTTAGACTGGTCTTGAACTCACTTTGTAGCACAGGCTGGCCTAGAACTTGCAGTGATCCTCCTGTCTCAGCCTCCTGAATTACAGGAGTCATGCACCACCTGAGTCGTGCACCACCACACTCAGCTATAGTTTCCATTTGAAAAGTTACCTAAACCTTTATCTTGTTAAAATGCTCAAAAGCCAAAGTTCATTGTATATGCAGGAATATGGACAAGATCAGTCCACCTAATTGGGACTCATCTGGTGATAAAGTAGATTGTGTATGGGTAGAGAGAAACATGCTTTTTTATCATATGTTACATATAAAGCCCTGTTCCCATTTATGAAGTGTGTAATGTTACTGATGTGGCGTTTCAGGTACCAGCTAGAAGCTAGAGTCTGTCTGGTGCACTGTGTTTTCTGTTGTAGGCTGGCCATGTGGTGTTCTGTGCATAAGGCCACATCATGCTGTCTTTTCATGCTTCAGAAATCTCTTGTATCTGCTAAGATAGGCAGACAGTTGACTTCTAGGTACAGAATCACAGAATGTCAGAGCCAAAGGGAACCTCGATAACCTGTGCATTTTATAAATGAGGTCTTTAACTTTTTTTAAATTTTATTTTATTTTAAAGAGAATA